CCGGGACCAAAGACAGACCCTGGGAGAAGAGACAGCAGTCTGCGCTGAAACTGAAGCCTGCATACCACACATGCTTCAGGGGCACGATAGCTCTCTTTACAACATGCAGTAAAAATTGCCTGGAAGTAATTCAGTGGAACAGCAGCTGAACATTCTTGTTTTTCTCAAACTTGTTGGATCATTTTGGTCCAAATAGTTTTGTTTGGGGAAGCTGCATTTTTAATATATTAAATACTAACCCTAAATGGTTTTTCATTGACTCTTATATTCAGAATCAAGTGTGGTTCTCACACTTTTTGACCAATTAATCTCCAGGAGTTTCATACATTTTCATTTTCGATTAGTGAATAGTTATTTGTAATTAAAAATATATAGAATTCAGACATTTAAAATATGAGTTCAGGTAAATTGACAATTTTTGCCATTGAGATAAATGGGAAAAAATGTCCTGAATCAATCATATATATATATATATATATATATATATGAGACTGCACACAAACTGCAGTTTTTGACAATTAAATAGTGTCATTATATAATAAATATTAACACTTTCTATTTAGACTCATAGTAATCCCCATGTAATTCTGCAATTATTTTAAAGTACTATCACCGTGGGAACCTTGAAAACAGCATTGGGCTGGAGTTTTAAATCATGTTCTAGAAAAAAAAGCTGACATTTGAAAAAAGGTGGATGAGGTGTCATTAGTCTTCATGTGAATAGTCACGTTCTCAACGTTACCACTCGTGAACAGAAAGCACAGAAACAATCAGTGGCATTTCATTTTTTTTAATACGCGAGCACCACGTAAATTGTCATGATACCAAAATACATAGATTCAGAATGCGACATGGGAAACATTATATACACACACACACTCGAATATCACAAAATGTACAGGTCTTTATAAAACAAAGACGTTAAAACAGTGGCCTAAACCTCGTACAGTCAAGTTTCGTGTGATCGACCCTGTATCGGTTCAGTGACAATGCAATATTGACCTTCATGACACGTTTGCATATGTTGTAATACCACTCGCTCACATGGCTTCAGAGTGGTCTGAGTTCAACACTTCAAGGACTGTAGTAGATTCCAAGGAGTAGCACCAGCATTCAGATAGTTCCTTCACTAGAAAGGCATGCCCGGACATCTTACAGGCCAAACAGACTCATGCTTGCTGGGAAGTCCCACACTACGATGTCGGGCCTGACCACGTGTTACCAATGCGCCCAGAGCAACCCGGATGAGAAGTACAGTGCAGTACAATACAGTTAGAAAGCTACTATCGCCGTACTCCAGGGGTTTAGGTTCTTCAACATTTGGTCACAGCAGATCTGTCCACTATCCTCTGCCTCGGCCTCAGGTTTGGCGCTTTCTTTGCTGAGAAGTCCTGAGAAACTGGAACCAAATATCGTTATGAGGTTGGACACGTTACTCGTGTCCATCTCCTCGGCTTCCTCGTCCTCTTTAGCGTTTGAGGAAGCAACTTTGGTCCTTTTTTGAGGCGAATCGCCACTTTCCGACTCCTCGGCGCTTCTTTTCCTGTTTGAACAAACGTGCGTTTTGGGTGGTTGATGTGATTCCCCGTTCGCTTCAGGCGTTGAGTCGCGTTCTGCTACTGCGCTGTCTGAGGGACTCTCCTTGGGCTCGGTAATGGATTCCGGCGGTGTTTCAGATGAAACCTTAGCCACAGAGTCCAACGAAGAGTTTTGGTTTTGCTCTTGTAAAGTGGAAGTACAATCCACCTGGTCTGATTTCACCTCATCGTCGTTTTCGCGATATTCGCGCTCTTTCTCGGGCTGCTCGTTCGGTTGAGTTTCCTCTGTGCTCTCCACTCGGTCGCATTCCGTTGCAGAGGGAGGGAATTTCTCCCGCTCGGAGTCCGTAATGTCCCATTCGTTCCCTTCGCGTTCGCTCTGAGCGTTCAGACACGCGCCGCTGTAGTAGTCGCTCAGATAGACCTGACGCGCGCTGCGAAGGACCAGCGAGACCAGGAGGTTTTTATGCAATTTAATGCCGCCTCGTTGAACGCGTGAGTTGTAGATTTTCCCTAAGGAAATACTCATAATCCGATGGGCTTCCACTTTGTATTCCATGTCTGGAATCGATACGGTAAAGTTCGCCGGGCGTTTCGCGTTTGATTTCCTCTCAGGACGCTCCTCAAACCGCTACTGATAATTGGCCGCCGGCACGGAAACACGATAATAAATAACGTCAAAGTAGTTTTTTCCTTCCGTAGATCAAATCGTCCGGTAGTTTGTTGACACAAGCCTCATTCCCATTCACAAAATAAAATATTTGTGTTATTGGGTGAGTGTAGGAGTTTTTAATACCTCACACATTCTCTTCAGCACTCAACAATGGTCTAGAGAGGAATGAGACAGTTTCTATTTTTAACTCGCTTTTATACTTAAACGTCAGCGGCTACACTAGCCAATCACGTCTCGAGTTGCGTTCTGCTACCGTTGTGAATCACACCCCGCCAAATAGGCGATGACCAATGGGAGAGCGCTGTGGCGACGTCAGCGGCTACACTAGCCAATCACGTCTCGAGTTGCGTTCTGCTACCGTTGTGAATCACACCCCGCCAAATAGGCGATGACCAATGGGAGAGCGCTGTGGCGATGAGTCATATTTAAATACTAACGTGGGAGAACTGTTTAAAGGGAAAGAATTGTTTTCAAGCTAAAACGGACAGATATGTTTACAATTCGTCGTGTGTATTCATCGATTTTGATTGATAAAACTAATATTTAAAACACAATATCGTTTTTGTAAGCGAATAGAAACGAATAACAAGCCAAAATCGACATGTACGAGACACTAAATCATGTTTTTACAGATTATGTAGCATATTTAGGGTAGGCTCGTTGTTTCATATGTTTAGTTTCTAAAAATAGATTTTAAATCTACACGTTCCCGTATTATTGTTATTATTCTTTTACACAGTTTCCGCATAGCAGCTCATCTCGTGTTGTTCAGAAAAACTGGTACTTCCCCTTTAATTTTTTCAACTGACTTCCTCGACTGATGTAATGGTTTGTCTGCTACAGTCGTGTCACATGACTCTATTGTGCAAATCCATTGCGGTGTCTGGGCAAATGTGAATGGAGCTGTTAGTGGGGGAAGGGCAATGTTTTGTTTAAAAAAACAGTTAGCTGCTACTCATGAACGACAATGAATAGTATGGGAGATTTTACCCTGAACTGACGATAATGCTTTTAAATGGCGCTGCTTTATTTATATGTATTTTTTTAGACGAGTAATCCGTGTGCGGTTTGTGTGTTCGCCTGCATTAAGATGTGGGTCATAAACAACCCTGACAGGTAGAGCGGGCTGTGACGTAACGTTAAGACACTTTCAGAGATTGTTTATCTAAATATAAACGATCACAGTCATCATGCCTACCGCACAATATCTTTTGAGAAATACTTGATTTCTAGTGCCTCAAGCCGTATTTCAGATTAAGAGCGTATTATTGATAGACAAGAACATGGATTAAAAGCCTTAATACTGTCATTTAAATCAGCATCCAGCTGTGTTTAGGCTGCAGTTAGTAAAGGGATACAATAGAAGGTCTATTTAAAATAATGTAGGCTATCCTTATCTATTCCCAGCTCTTCAATTACAGGCCTGCGTGTTGATGGGAAACTGGCAACTGATACACTAAATAAAACCAGAGTTGATTAATAATTGATGCAATTTTACTTACTAAGCTGAGCTGAAGTGTTTCCAGCTGGTTTGCTGGTTTTACATCATACACAACCGTCCGCTTACCAGTGGATAGCATTGGTGTAGTTTGTCAGCTAATGAGAAGGCAGTGCGCTGTGATGAATAATGTATGAAGCACTGTTTTAGTAGGCAGACGAGGTGCAAAACTACGTTTATTAAGAGAAACCAGTGGCAGACTCATAATTGTGGCCTTTTATTATTATTATTATTATTATTTTAGATGATTTCAAATGTTGTTGTTGTTAATCTTTTAATTTTCTTTTTGTGGGAATAGATTGGAGGTGTTTAATTCATGCAATTTATTAAAGTCTAGAGTTCAAGTAAATAAAAAAGTACACTGTTGGCACCATAGTACAATAAGATGGTTATACCTGGTTACTTAAATATATACTATTGTATCATGTGAGAAAATGTATATAAAAAAAAAAAATAGAGCATTTCTGGACATGTACCATGATACTATAATGGTATTTTGAAAGTAATATGAATTTTTGAATATGAAATACCATAGTACATAATTTTCTGTATTTCAAAGCATTTATGGTATCACTATCAGAATCACAATATCACAACATCACAATACCATGGTATTACCACAGTACTTTTTAGTGTATAAGACAAGACAGGTAAAAGTTATATAATAATAATAATAGTAGTAATAATAATAATTATTATTAAATTATAAAGAATTATAATTATTTCAATTATTACAAATAATTATTAACAACAATAATAATATAATAAAAGTGCATACTATATCAGTATCAAATAATAATAAAGTAATATTGCCTGAAATGCTATAGAGGTGTTGAAATGCCTGTAACTGCATAATTTATCCAGCAGTATCTAGTGTAGAAGATAAACCATAATAATAATAATATAATATACCATAATAGTAATATAAATATACAATAATATTGTATAATATACTGTAGAAATATTAAATTATAACAGAATAACGTAATATTGACGGTGTTGAAATGTTTAACTACATTACTACATTTATATAGCAGTATCTGAATTAAACAGGCTAATAAATAACTCTTTAACTCTGTGTTTTGTCGTTGTTGTTTTTTTCTTCTCATAATTACAATCTTGCTTTTATGCACCTGTAACATCTGTGGCAATATTGCTTTGTTCTTTTACTGCAACAAACCAAAACAACCCACGCAGAGCACGCCGGTGTTTGTTTACAACACGAGACTTGACTTGACTTGACTTTACCGGGAAGCGTGTGCGCGTGTGCCTAGACGCTCAAGAACCCGGATGTGATTCCGCCAGGCAATGGCGGCCGAGCGGATCCGGGCTCCGTCCCATATGTAAACAACACATTAAGCGCTCTCGTTTGTTTAAGAAAAGCAAAACCAGCCGCGATCAGGAGCATGAGATTATCGCACAAGAATCGACTCATCTGAGCACCAAAATGTCAATGGAAGATCCGTTTTTCGTCGTGAAAGGGTGAGTTTACGGCTTAGATCGGTGACTGGTCGAATATCGATTTAGGAGAAAGCGAATTATTAGCTCAAAAGTTTTTTCTTATAATTAAACTTTTCTGTTTACCAATGTTAGCACTGCGTGTGAACGCTTTGGGAGGTCGTATGTCACTACGCAATACCGTTTAAAACAGCTGTTTCAGTGAGATCGTGTCGTGTTGCCATGGCAACCGTTATTATCGCTTTTCCCACCATTGTATCATGCCTTTAAATCGATTTCTATTCCTCGACGTGGTATTGTTGTGTGGTACCAGATATCTGCTCTTAACTATATTACATTTACAAATAGGTGCCATTTTACTACCGCTTTTTTTAGGCAAGTACCATGGTATTCTGGGATGTAAGTTACCTTGGAGTTCCGTGAAAATACCATGGTGTGTCAAAGTACCATGGTATTTCCATGTGATGCGTCCACTGTACCAAGATATGTCCAAAACATGGAATTATCACGTTTTTTGGACCTGTACAGTGGTATACTTGGAATTACCTTGGAATGGCATGTGCATACCATGATGTAAATCAAAGTACCATGGTATTTTCTTATGGTACCATCACTTTGCCATGGTACATGTCCAAAATCAGGATATTATAATAGTGCCAAAAGTACTGTAGTATTTTTGTTTATATCAAAAACATTTGCATTGTCATTATTCAAATGCTGTTGGGTTCCTCACTTTATAAAGAGGTTTAATTGATTGCTTTTCGTTAGAGAGGTGCAGAAGGCTGTGAACACAGCTCAGGGGCTTCACCAGAGATGGATGGAGCTGCTACAGGACCCGGGTGGAGCCAGCAAGGAGGAGGTGGACTGGACCACTAATGAGCTGAGGAACGGTTTGAGGTCCATTGAATGGGACTTGGAGGACTTGGATGAGACTATCAATATCCTTTTGTTTCTGGTGGCTTTTGTTTGGACTAAATGGTTCAGGTGTTTATAGGTTGTAGCCTTAACCTTGTCTTTAAGTATTGTGGAGGCTAATCCAAAGAAGTTCAATCTCGATGCAATGGAGCTGGCCAAGAGGAAAGCCTTCATCACTAGCACTAGGCAAACAGTCAGGGTGAGCATATTTGAGAGACTTAAACATATCGGAACCAATGGCTCATGAATATCTCTAATGGATTTTCATTTTACAGGAGATGAAAGACCACATGACTAGTCCAATGGCCATGACGGTGTCCGAGAGGAAAAATCGACAGGTTTGTACTTAAACTATAAAAGTAGGAGCCAATTTATGATTTGACAAGTATGCGTATCATCTCATGACAATTTATGATCCCGTATTAGACTTTAATGGGCAATGGGGGGTCTCGTGGCCCAATCTGGCAACCCAGTGCAGATAAGTACACTAGACTGGACCAGGAGCTGCAGACGGCAAACTCACAGTTCATTGAGGAACAGCAGACCCAGCAACAGGTACGTCAATACAGCAGTTCATATCGCAGTTAACAGCTAATTATGACATGATTAGCATATTCTACCATGTTTATGAGCATTTATCAGGACAGTGTGTTTTATTTGTATGTGTACATTGCAGCTCATAGCAGAACAGCAGGATGAGCAGCTGGAGTTGGTGTCGGGAACTATTGGCGTCTTGAAGAACATGTCCCAAAGGATCGGCCAAGAGCTGGATGAGCAAGCTGTGTAAGTCACTTTTCAAAAATTATGAATTTTATTTTTAAATAAAAAAAATTATATATAATTTGAAGAAAGAAATCTATATATAGTATTTGTATTTTATATGTAGAGAGATATATATATATATATATATATATATGTGTGTGTGTGTGTGTGTGTGTGTGTATAGATTATACATCATTATAATTATGTATATTGAATATACATAATTTTGAATATGTAAATAATATATATATACACACTACAAATGATCATTTTTGAATAGTAATTTCTATCTATCTATCTATCTATATACTTATATACTTTTTCAAAGTATTTTTTATATATTATTAAGGGGGAAGTCGTGGCCTAATGGTTAGAGAGTCGGACTCGTAACCCAAAGGTTGTGGGTTCGAGTCTCGTACCGGCAGGGATTGTAGGTGGGGGGAGTGAATGTACA